TGAGGCAATGGAAAATAGTGTTATTGCCAAAAGGTATTAAAGAGAGTTTCATCAATAGGTCTAAATGCAGTTCAGTTATAAAAATGTAATTGAACATGCTGTTTAATAAATAGTGGATCAGTTATAAGCTCATTAAACAGTTTTATATTAGAGAAGTAAACAGGTTGATGATAATAATTAAGGATGCTATTAATAGCTTGAGTAGGGTGTGTTGTAAGAGTAGTGCATTTTTTGTCGATGGTTTTATTAATTTGTTGTTGAAGTAGAAGAGAGTTTTCAAGATGACAAGTATAAAAAAGTTGCTTCCAAATAGAGTGAGCATGTTAAAGCCAAGGTTGAGTACAAGATAGATTAGTAAAGTTAAGTGGTTGGCAATTACATTGAGACTGTTTGTTAATTTGAGAAATATTTTGATTGATGTTAGAGATATTAGAATGTTAAGTGAGTTTTTTAACAAGTTTAATAGTATGACCAAGTTTTTTAAGTGATAGGTATAGTAGGGTATTGTAAGATAAATATTGATAATTGTAGCTATATATATAAGAAACTTTGTTAGGAATAGTATAAGTAGCAGAATAAATAATAGAGCTTTGAATTTTGTGTCAAGTTGTTTCAATACTTTTATCAGTTTTACTATTAGTAGGAATTTTGTGTAGTAGGAGTTGTTGAGATAAGGTATTTGCAAAGGATTTCCAGTCCTCTGTAGACATAGCCTTGAATTGAAGATATGATGACTAATACTGGTGTGTTTACATAAGGGTTTGCTATAAGCATGTAGGAATGTCCATGTGGAAGAAAGGATTAAATGATCACTGGAGGTTGAGCTTTGTCTATTATCAAGACTGTAAGAGAGAAGAAATTGTATGTTGAATTAATCAGTTCAAATGTAGTCAATATGACTGCTATTAGCATTGTTAGACCAGGTGAAGTGTTTGTTGTTGAAATGAGCACCAATATCATACATATTGGTGTTATTAAGAAAGTTGATAAGTTTGTATTTAAAAGAAGAACTTTGAGTATTATCTTGTGTATTAAAATCATTAAGAATAATAGGGTGAATATGAAGTTGAGAGGCTTGTTGAATCCAGTTAATGACAGTATTTTGAGTTTGGTTGTAAGTAGAGATATCAGTTTATAACAGATATACTAAGATGATGTGAAGCTTGATATTACTTCAGAAGAAAATATCAAGTGCTATAGCACCTCCAGGATGAGTATGAATACTGTGAATATGGGGTTTTAAATGATTGCAAATTAAGATAGCAGTGTCTTTAATAGAAGTAGGAGAGTTGAACCAATAATAGGTAAAGAAGTTATTATTACAAAAGAAAAGGTTAGTTTTGTCAGAAATTTTAGTTTCTGTAATGCTTGTAATAGATATGTTATGGTTAAGACAATAGTCTTGCTAGGCTTTTCTTTTGGTAGGTTCATTAAAGCCTCTAATATTATATGTGGTAATGTTAAGATGGAGATGATGTGATGTTGAATTAGATAAAGATAAAGAAGAATTATGATTAGAAGAGGTTAAAGAATGATTGTTGGGAAATAGGTCAGGTATAATAGGAGTAGAATTAAAAGAGTTAGATCTAAGAGGTAGGTTGTAAAATAAAGAAAGAAGGTGTAGAACAATAATAATGTAATCTGGTAAAAGTGTATTATTAGGAAGGTATATATGTGTTTCGTTATCCCTTAAACTGTCCATTTTAGCAGACAAATTTGCCTGCTAAAATAAAAAAAAGAAAACCAAGTCAAATTTTTTTTTTTTTTTTTTACAAAACTTGATATAAACAGGTTAAAATGATTCTTAAAAACTCGAATTATGTACATGACATACTTTCTAGCTGCAGTGTAATGTATAACATATGACCATAACAAATTAAAGTTAAATTAAATAAAATATGTCGTGCTGCAGCTTTGAAATATGCCATAAAACAAATTGCTGCGTATCTGCAAAGTATTAAGACTATTGTGCATGCATTATTGGATCAGCATACTTTCGCCTCATTAGTACATGCGAATAATATTTTTATTATTAATTAAATATATTTTACTTATTGGCTAGATCAAATTATTCTGACAAATAAAACTACAATATATATCTATTTGTCTATATTAATAATGTTCATACACAGCAATCTTATGAAAGTGACACTTAGCAAGACAGTTCAAACGAATTACCCAATGTACCAAAAATGTGGACATGTAATGGAACAGACATAAATATTCGAACTTATGATGGAACTTGCAATAATCTTAAGCACTCAAATTGGGAAACCCAAAATAGAGTTTATGATCGAGGAGATTTTTTTGCCGATTACAAGAATAATTATTCTGGTAAACCTGCAATAAATATAAATGCTAGAATAATTTCAAATATTTTATGAGATAGCGGCCAGGCTCCTGTTTCCTCTGGAAGTCCTTTGACTGACAAGTAATTTTGGATTAAATGTTTTTCCAGTTAAAAATAAACACAGCAAGTTTTGTGATAATTTTATTTCTATTTAGAAAAATACAATTATTGCTTCTTTAACATCATGAATGTGATCGAATATATTTTAAGTGAGAAAATGTAACCTTAACTAGAGGCCTGCGTTGGGTCCCACAGCCCAGCCCGCAAATTTTTGTGGGCTGGGCCGGGCCTGAAGCAAAATTTTATAATTGCAGGCTGGGCTGGGCCGAAAAATTTGCAAAACTTTATAATTACGGGCCAGTGCGGGCCTGAAAATTTGTAAAATTATATAAGAAATTTTTGCGGGCCGGGCCAGGTCAGGCCGGGCTGAAGAAAAAATTTAACATATGCAGGCTGGGCCGGGCCGACAAAAAAATAGTAACCCTAAATACAGGCCAGGCCAGGCCTAAAAAAAATTTTTAACCCTAATTGCAGGCCGGGCTGGGCCTTAAAAATAGGCAATTTGCAGGCCCCTAACCTTAACCTTACTTAACCTTATTGTATCATGTGAACAGGCAGCGATTTAAATATGAACTTACTTTTCCGGAAAATTTTATTTTTATTGCAATTGCTTAAATCTTTGCTGTACTGAACGCAAAAGCATCAAAGTCTTTTTTTTTTTGTTTTCTTCATGTTTTTTTTTTCTATTTTAATTTTTTATTTAATAGTATGGAATTGTAAAAAACAATTCTGAGCATTATTGCAACAAAGAGGCTCATTACATACAACACACCATAAATTACTTCGATGTGGTGTTTTACGATCTACATCCAATTCGTCTTTCGCTAACCATGTACACCATCGGCACACTTCGCATTGTTCTTTCCACACTACAAAGTGGTTTCTGGGAATTAATCTTTTATCAGATAATTCAAAATGTTTTGTTACCTTTGGTCACTTTGTTTCTTTTTCTAAACTACTTCTTAGTTGAATTTGGCCAGAATCATTTGCAAAATTAATAAGGTCCCAGACAAGTTCATGGCAGAACTCTTTGTGCTCCCACTTCGATTCTAAAGTTCTGACGATTCGGTATATATTGATAATCACGGTGTCTAGCAGCCAGAAAAAAATTGGCATCCAATTTCACCGAGATACTTGTTGCATACTGTAATATGACCGCAGTTGGTCAGAGACATCTACTCCATTCATATTATGGTTGTAATCATTAATAATCTTGGGAATTTTTAATTTTTTTTTTGATTCAGACCCAAATATCGCATGCACTTTTACAGCATTACTACTAGTTTTTCTTGGTTGTCATCTTTCACGCTCTACTTCCCATTCTTCACCAACAAGCCTATAAATCGTTGTCAACATTGTTACTGGTCCGTTATCTTGCCAGAGGACAGCCAATGTATCATTTATTACAACACCAGAACGAACGTCCCAATTGAGTTTAATGCCTTTGTCTATTTTCAATTCTTTCAGAAAACCGGAGGCAGTTTTTCTAATAGTTCCACAAGCACTAATGCCAATCTGCCTAAGCTGTTGAAAAAGAGAAATGCTCGTAAAATAGTTGTCCATGTATATATTAAAAGAAAATTGACGATATGGAAGTTGCTCAACAAGGTGGTGAACCAGAGATCCAGTTTGATTAAGACCAGTTACTTATGTGACTTTGCTTGAAATAACGTGCGATGTTGGTAGGAATGTGTAAGTGTAACCCGACTTACAAAGTGACAAAATTTTAAAACCCTCTGGAGTCGGTTTGTTCTTGATACGAATAGTATGAATGCTTCTACCAGAGAACCGGATCATCATTTTGTCTACTGAAACATTTGAGTTTGGTATATAGAGTTGCTTTGAGATATCCTGAACATAAGACAGTAATGGCTCCAATTTCTCAAAATAATTGTTAATTGTTGCAGTGGGTGAGGAAATGTGCAAATACCTCTTTATTTGTTCGAAGCGTTTTAGTGACATTTGCTTGGTAATATGGTGAACAGGGAGTTTCTCATTTTCATTCCAGTATTGGTTGAGGGAAGGCAACTTAAAAAGTCCCTGATAAATTACTAGAGCAATCCAGATGATGAGCTCTTTACGGCTTAGGTCCAGCCATTGCCTACCAGTATTACCAGCACTTTTTGTTAATGCATAAAGATTCGTATTGAGAGTAATTGTGTCTAGCATAGTGGTTGTAAAAAAAAGAAAAAAAAAATCAATTGCTTTAGAAACACTTTCATCAAGATGCGATGGTAGCCGAATGGATGCCCGATGTAGTGGCATTGGACTAATGAAATGTTCAAAGTTGGCGAGTAGTGGCGGCAGCTCTCATTGCACAGTTCCTGTTGATTTACGCCTTTTCTTGCGAACATCCCTTGTGTCTGTTTCTAATGTACTCTCGTCCTCATCCTCATTTTCTGATTCTTGATTGTCCAAAGAATGCTGACGAAATGTCAAAAGTGGTACGTATTTATCATCATCGTAAGCACGTGTCTCTAAAGTTTCAAAGTGAGACAAACTCGAAGCCAAAGCAAATGTAGAAGACATTCCTTTGCTTCTTACAATAATAATGGAGTTTTTTTTTTTTTTAAATCCCAGAGGTGAGATCTTTTATTAAATTTACTTTCACACAACAATTGAGTGTGAGATTTGATTTACAACAATTGATGTTGAGAGTGTGAGGTTTGATTTACAACATTTGAGAGTATGAGGTTTGATTTGCATGTAATTGAGTGTATAGTTTTTTTCATAAATTTACGCAAGTTTTTTTTTAATTGCTGATGTTCAGGCCTACCAAATAATTGATTGTGGGGGCAATTAATTGCAATTTTTCGAACTCAATTAATTTATGGGTGGCGCAGCTACAATTGGTCAATTAATTGCCAGTAGGCCTGCTGATGTCAGTTATTTAAATACATAATTGAATAATCTTGAACTACTTTACTTTATGCCATAGTCTAGCTATTAATAGGAGATATGTTATTGTGAGTATGTAAGAATTTTTTAAAATTTTTATGGGGCTTGCTAAATTTGATAATAGGTGCAGATTCATGACAAACACTGGCATGATTCGAATGCCATTCAAAATGCTATTCAAACTATTACAGATTTCACGGACATGCATGTCCACGAAGTCATGTGATAGTGTTGAATGGCAGTTTGAATGACATTCAAATCGTGCCATTCAAGAATAATTAAAGTTCAAAAGAGTCATAGGGAATGAGTAATAAAGAGATAATGAATACTGGAATTTTTAATAGATGAGTATGTAGGCAAAAAATATTTTGCCAAAATAAAAAAAAGGTCAGGCGATGTCAAATTACAAGCAAGAAAGATTCTGGACAAGTTTTTTTTTTAGGATAAATATTACCGATTTTTCTGCAAGGTTTCTTCTGCACCACTTGTATAACAAACCTGTAAGTACTTGATAACAAACCTGTAAGTTTATCTTGCCCAAATGTGTATCGTGTTGTACTAATTTGGATGGTATGTTAAAGAACGGGTAACTGTAAGTTTATTTCTTGATTTAACGTTAATATAAAATAGCAAACCTTATTTATTCTAAATTTAGAGAGTAATATATACAAATTAAGAGATACTGTAAGCCAAAATAATTAATAATCGAGGTTTTCATTCTAGCTTAGAAAAGGAGAGGGGGTACTTTAAAAAAATTTCGAGTAATTGTACAAAAATAGATTGAAAATTATTTTAGTGACCAAATTTGGCTGCTGGACAGTTTAAGGGATAAGATAAATTAACAGAAAATGTAATACTAAATACAGTTTTGTTATTGTTATATTTGGCAATATGTTGAATTAGAGTTTGAATAGTTTGACCATGGGGAAGAAGTGGTAAATTGTAGTAATTAAGGAATTTATTAAAGCATGTATGAAAATCATAGGGGATTAAAGATGTTATAAATGATCTTTCAAAATTGTCTTCTACAGGGTCGATCACTGTATGCTTGGCTTTCACAGCTGTGCAAGGTACCATAGTCTGTCCTGTACATTGGGTCTGATCATCATTATCCTGGCCTTCCATATAAATAAACTTATCTATCTGTCTATTTGTTTCATTTTTCTTATTAACTACACTGGTTGTATCTTTTAATAAGATGATGGCTGCTTCAATATTAGTTGTAGAAGACAAAGAGCTTAAAAAGAAGACTGTAAAAAAAGAGAGTCAAGAATAGAGACTGATTAAAAGTCAAGGTTAAATTTTTTTGATAAGAATTTTTTAGCTGCTGGATAAGCATTATCATTAAATATTTGACAATTTGTATGTAAGTTGGTTTTTGGTTTTTAATCACATCAAAGTATGTAATGATTTGAACAAGAAATTTGGTATCAATAATGTTTTTTGTTAAAAGATTAATAGCCTCTTCCTTGAACAGAAACTGTATATTATGGTTTTCAGCAGCAGTTTGGTAATAAAAGGAAAGGTAGTAATAGAAATAATAATTGCAACATTTGGGATTGATTTTGACTTTATTTTGTTTGCAAACAAAGTCTTCAGCTTGATCAGCTAGTTTGTCCAGAGCTTTAGTAGGGATGAGTTGATCAAGTGAGGTAGCATGTTCCTTGTTTTTGTGGAATAGTGTGACATTGAGAGTTGGGTGGATCCATGTTTCATTATCCTGAGATGGAAATAATGAGTAAGATTTGGTTAAAATGTCATTGAAGAGTTTGGCACTATCATAAAATTTTTTGTCATCAAGGTATTAATATTTTTTGTTATCATAGGTGAGGCAATAGAAGTTAGCAACATGAGATGCTTCTTTATGTCACTCATAAAGTAAGTTAGGTTTTTGAAAGATATAGGTTTTAGGGAGATGTTTAGAGAGTTAAAAGATAAAATGTTATTGGAATTGAATTCTTAGAGAGGTGCAAACTTTTTCTTTGTCAATATTGGAAGAGAATTGTTTGCTATAGGGAGGATAATAAGTTTCAAACCAGGAATTGAAGTGATCAAGAGAGTTTTTTAGTAAAGGAATACAAAATTGTTTCAGAAAAAGAGTTTTAGAAATATTAAATAAGAGTTTAATATTAAATCTGACATCAGATTGAATTGTAAAGTATTTTTGATTAAGATCTGTAGTTTGAATGAATGATTTAATTTTAAATCTTTTGGGTCTGAGTTGTAAGTTCTCAGCAAATTTTTGGTAGTCGATTAATTGATAGTTGTTGGATAAAAAAAGATGTAAGTAAGCAAGATTAAGACAAAGTTGAAGACGATTGTGAACTGTATATAGAGGAATAGTAACAGGTAAAGCAAAAATTTCAAGGTAATTGAGTTTAGTAAAGAGAATAGTTGTGAATTTAAGGATAAGATTTTTAGAGTAAATTCAAGAAGGTCAGAAGAAATAATAGCACTTTTGTCAATATTAGAGTTGCTGTTGTAAATAAGATCAGTTAAAAACTCAGATCATTGTTCAGCCATAATATGAATAATGTAATAGAAGAATGCTTTAAGTGCAGGTTGTATAGCAGTAGCTGGCTTAATTTTCTTACCAGGATAAAAATCATAGAGAAATTTTTTAAAGAAGGTGAAGAGTTGAAGAGAGAATAAGATTTGAAGCTTTTTGTTAGATTGCATTTCTTCAGTAATAGGAAAGTTTGCAATCCAATTATATGTAGGATTAGATTTAGGTTTAAGAACACTAGAATATAATTGAGAGAAAGGTTTGTTAGAAGTATTTTCAGATTGGTTAGTGTTACTGTTCTTATTAAAGTTTAGATTGGAAGTGTCAAGAGTGTTAGTAACAAGCAGTTGCTTAGAGTTAATATTAGTGTTAGTAGTTATAAAAAAGAAAAAATCGATGAGATCAGATAAAGTTGAGGTTTGGTGAGAAGGAGCTGTAAGAGAATTAGTAGTTTAAGAGAATTCATGTAAGATGTTTGGAAAGATTTGTGTGAGGTTTTTCTTGGTTTTGGATGAACTAGCTTTATGTTAAGATGAAGCAGTTATGCAAGTAAGATAATAGATTTTATTATTTTTAGAGATGTATTTTTTGGTAGAATAATGATGCTCATTTCTTTTGGTACAACCAATTGGAATAGAGCATTTAGGACAAGTATGATAATATACATCAGATATAGGAGATGGAGGAACACTGTCGATAGAGGAAGAGAGATTAGTTATAGTTCTTGAGTTGTTTTGTTAATTTTTTTTGAATTGATATTGATATGAGCAGTTGTAAATTTAGTAGCTTGAGTATAATTGGTATTTGAGATTAAGATGAATTTGGTATGGTATTTGTCACAGAAACAGGTGATTTCAGAGGTAGAGGTAGGAGCTTTAAAAAAATAAGTAATTTTATTTGATCGAAGATTTTTTGTTAAGCAAAAAGTGGGTTGAACTTTGAAAGGAATTGGGTGAGTCTTATTATTGTTATCCTCTTCATAGAGAGCAATTCCAAAACTGTTGAAAAAGTTTTGATAAAAATAATTAAGATCTGCTGTATCTGGTTCTTGTTAACTTAAGATAGGCATTGTTAAAAGATAATAAGTTAAGTAAAGATTTTAGACTTAGGTATGTTTTCTAAAGAGAGAATATAGTTATAAATAATTAAATTTATAAGGATTATAAATAAATATAAGGGTTGTAGTTTAGAGATGTTACTAGAATGACGCAAAAGTATAATAAGAGTGGATAGTGTCACTAATATGACTCAGATACTGAACACAAGTAGGATTTGCAATACAAATTACTGTGTAATATTAATAAGGACTAAATATGGAAGTACTTGATTGTATGAATAAGTTTTTATTAATAGGTTGATTACAAAATATTGGTGTAAATTAATAAGGTATGGATTAGGAAGTGATGGTATGGTTATATGAAAACTATGTAAGGAGAAAAAGAAACAAGATAAAGACAAAAGATAAAAAAGAAGTTTTACAAAAGAGTAAATATTGAATTTAGTTGTAGTTTGGTCAATATTAGGTCAAAAATCTTCGTTTAGAGCTTGTTTTGATTGGGTAAGTATATACTACAACTTTAATTAAAAGTATAAAACAGATTAAGGTAGTAAAAATTGTAAGATACCTAAAAGTTATCAACTGAAGGCCAAGGCCGTCAGTACAATTTTCTCGATAAGTTTGAAGTATAAAGACTTAATATTTGCAGACTATATGTAAAATGATGTGTTGTACAAGTTTACTTAGAAGCCCAAAATAGGTTTCCTTATTATAATAAAAAGTTATAAGTATTTTATGACAGATGAATTTTTTAATTAATTTTTGTGTAATGGATTTGTAGAAAGAGTTTTTTGTTTGTGTGATGTACATGTTGTACATGCATCATTTGCTAATAATATTTGAACTTTTGAATCTCTTAATCCAAAAAGTGCAAGATGATCTTGATTTTGATACATTCCATACTTGTTCCAAATGATAGTTGGTGTTTGCCAACATATTGATGTATTTTATTTTTTCTCTTAAAAACCTGTAAACTATATTGATCTTCTAAAATCTGTTGCCAAATAAGATATATTTCTAAATTACGATATATTACTAATATTGATATATAACCAGGCCCATTATATA